TCCTTTTTTTTTCTTTTCCATCACCTTTTTTTTTTTTTATTTCAGAAAGGAAGGGAGAGGGAGAGAGAGAGAGAAACATCAATGATGAGAGAGAATCATTGATGGCTGTCTCCTACATGCCCCACATGGGGGATTGAGCCTGCAACTGGGGTGAGGAGCAGAGGTACATTCTACTACATGCTCTTTTGAACCCTTTGAATACACGAGACCATGCAAATAAAATGCCAGGGGAAAATAAAGTGAAAGGATTGTCAACCAAAGAGGTGAGGCTGGGTGAAGAGATAGGATCAAGAGGGGTCTTCAAAGGCAATGTCTGATCTTTGAATGTGGCCCCTGGAGAGGGAGCTGAGAAATTTAAGAAGAAGTCAGTTGCCAAAACAAAAGATCCCTCCAAGTGGTCCATAGAAGTGAGGATGCAAAATCTCCGTAAGATTTGACAAGAAGAAAGTCTTTGTTATGGCGGTGAGAGTAGGTCCTGATAAGCGGGGACAGAGGATCTAGGGTGCTTCTAATATCTATACTCTGCATTTCTGAGGAGACAATGAAACATGTTTCAAATGAAAGAACAAAACAAAACTCCAGAAAAAGAACATAACAAAGTAGAGACAAGCAATCTACCAGATGCAGGGTTCAGAACACAGGTTATAAGGATGATCAATGTGTTTAGGGGAAGAGTAGATGAACTTAGTAAGAACTTTAACAACATAAAAGAGTTCATGAAAACCATAAAAAAGAACCATTTAGAAATGAGGGTACACTAACTGAAATAAAAAATGATTTACGGAGAATCAAGAGTAGAATAGTGGAAACTGAGACTCAAACCAGCAGTTTGGAATATGAGAAAGCTAAAAACACCCCATCAGAACAGTAAAAAGAAAAAAGAATTTTAAGAATGAGGAAAATGTAAGGAGCCTTTGGGACAACTTCAAGCATACCAACATTCTCATTATTGAATTGCCAAAAGGAGAAGAAAAAGAGCAAGAAATTGAAAACCTATTTGAAAAAATAATGACAGAAAAATTTTCCCAACCTGGTAAACGAAATAAACATACAAGTCTAGGAAGCACAGAGAGTCCCAAATAAGACGAACCCAAAGAAGCCCACACCAAGACACATCATAATTAAAATGGCAAAGGTTAAAGAAAATGGAGAATCTTAAAACCATCAAGAAAAAAGCAGTTAGTTACCTACAAGGGAGCTACCACAAGACTGTCAGCTGATTTCTCAACAGAAACTTTGCAGGCCAGAGGGGAGTAGAAAGAAATATTCAAAGTGATGAAAAACAAGGACCTACAACCAAGATTCCTTTACCCAGCAAAGCTATCATTTAGAATTGAAGGACATATAAAGAGCTTCCCAGACAAGAAAAAGCTAGAGTTCATCACTACCAAACTAGTATTATATGAAATGTTGAAGGGTGTTCTTTCAGAAGAAGAAGAAAAAAGAAAAGATAAAAAATATAAACAATAAAATGGCAATAAATACATATCTATCAATCATTGAATCTATAAAACAAAGAATACAAACAAGCTGAACAGAAACAGATACGCAGATACAGACAACATTTTGATGGTTGCCAGATGGGAGGGGAGATGGGTGAAAAAGGTGAAAGGATTAAGAAGTACACATGTGCCGTGGAATACTTTGCAGTTGTAAAAAAAAAATGGATGACGTTATTTATCTACTAACATGAAAAGATTTTCAATAATTATTGTTAATTTAGAAAACGAGATGCAATCAATGTATGTAGAATGCTTCATGTCTTAAAAAAAAGACACAAAAAATGCTCACACAAAATCTATATTTATACCTACACCTAGAGATAGATATAGAAATATCCTTACATATACATAAATATCTCTGGATAAACACATAAGATACAGTTTAGAATGAATGACTTGAGTGAAGAAAATTAGGAAACTGGGGTGAGGAGCAGAGGTACATTCTACTACATGCTCTTTTGAACCCTTTGAATACACGAGACCATGCAAATAAATTGCCAGGGGAAAATAATTAAAGTGAAAGTATTGTAAACTAAAGAGGTGAGGCTGGGTGAAGAGATAGGATCAAGAGGGGTCTTCAAAGGCAACGTCTGATCTTTGAATTTGGCTCTAGGGGAGGGAGCTGAGAAGTTTAAGAAGAAATCAGCTGCCAAAAATAAAACGACCCCTCCAAGGGACCCATAGAAGTGAGGATGCAAAGTCTCCATAAGATTTGACAAGAAGAAGGTCTTTGTTATGGTAGTGAGAGCAGGGGCTAATTGGGGACAGGATGTAGGGTGCTTTCTAATATCTATACTCTACATTTCTGATCTCAGCCCTGCTACCATTCAAGCTCTGATATTTGAGCTCTATTCTGAGGTGCTGTGGACACTTCATCCCTCCATCACAGCATTGCAAAGGAGAAGGTCTCTCCTGCCTGTATTATTTCCATGGAAGACACCGATGGTCAGGTTCTGTGGAGCATCTGAATTCAGAGGGCAATATGTTCCTCTTCAGTTTCAAAGTTAGTTTCCATTTTAGCATCCCCTTGGCCCCCTATCCCTGTCGGAATCCAGTCCTCAGTTCCATTTGCCTCAGGCCCTGACTCTCTTGTTATTACTCACAATAACCCAGAAGTTGTGGCCCAAACTCATAGGAGACAATGAGCTGAATGGTTATTTCTGTGGTCACATGGGACCTCAGTAAGGTCAATTGGTAGGTGACATTGGTGTCATGGTGCTAGGGGCTATGGGATTGTTGTCAGCAAAAACGGCCCCAGGTGTTAGACCTCAGTTCAGCAAACTCAGTTCATGGGTTCTGGCTAAGAGAAGAATTCAGAGCCAAGACTCAAATGATAAGAAGGAATGTTTGTTTTCCATCCTGATGGCTTTTCTCTGGAGGACTCAGGGGAGGACCTCAATGTAGCTGCTCCTGAGGTCAGCCATGGCGTTGCTCTCTCTGGTTTTTCTGCCTTTCTGGGCCTAAAGTTGAAACACAGATGAAGCCTAGATGTCAGCTGCAGAATCTCTGTGCTTCCCTGTCTCCCCTTTTCCCTGTCGCTATCATGTTCTTCTCCCACCTGCAGGGCACTGGATGAGGGCCAATCCCTGTGTTTGGTGTGTGAGATTGACAGCAACCTCCTTGCTAGAGTGAGCTGGACCCTGGAGAGCCAAGCTCAGAGCCTCGGTCCTGCAGCTGCCCCGCAATGGAAGCTGGCGATGGAGGGGAGTTCTGCCAAGCTCAAAACCCATTGGGCTCCCAACACGTCTCCGTTAGCTTCTCTGTGCAAAGAATGGTGGGAGAGAAGAAGAGGCAGGATTCCTGGGTTCTGAGAGCGGAGCCTTACGTCAGTGTGACAATACAGAGAAAAGGTATTTTTTCATAATATACAATGCCAGTTTCTCCTAGAAATAAATATATCCCGGTTTTTTAATAGGTCTCCTGCCAACGTGGGAGGACTACCCCCAAGACTCTGGCTGTATGGAATGAAAGTTCTTGGAAAATGGCAGCCTCCAGTGTCATAATCCCAATGGGCTCGGCCATGTCTCTCGCCCAGACAGTCCCAGGAAGAAAATGAACCACGGGATGGAGAGACACAGTAATTCTCCATGATGACCATTGGCAGGCTGTGGCTTCAAACGGTCTAGTGAGCGTGTGCACAGTCCACCCACTTCCGGGTCACAGTTC